TGGTGGCTTAACACTCTTTATTATTAAGAGTTTAGTACACGGATTAGTTTAACACAACGAGACAAGTCATGGGTATCGTGCGGTCAGCGGAAGGCCCTGACCTGAGCCGGACAGGCGCCGACCTTGACCAGCCAGCGGCCGGCACACTCTGATTGACAGGGGTCATCCTTGGAGTATAAGTGGACTTCAGCACTTCAATGTGATGACAGATCATTTTCCATTGGTTCCTATTTTGAACCATTATTCCCTGGATGCAATTGAAAACCCTCGCCTCCAGCGCATGAAAGAAAAGATTACACCCTACATTTTTACCGCAATGTGGCGTGCAGGTAAGAAGATGTGCATCCCCGATGCCCTCTCCCAGTCACCTGTATGTCGCCCAACGGTGGAAGAAGGTGCCTTCAGTGGTGAAATGGATACTTCTATCAAGATTGTAGCTCTGCAGGCTGTTCAGTCTACTAAAGCACCAGAAGCCATAGACGAGCAAGAAGAGCTTCCTCTAAGGATGCTTCATATGAGGAGCTGCTTCACCATGTAAAGTCAGGGTTCCCCAAAGACTGCTACAACCTGCCAAGTGCCCTTCCATACTGGAAGATTCGCAGTGAGTTATACAACAATGGTGACTTGGTGCTGTACGGACCTAGAGTGGATGTCCCTGTTTCTTTACGCTGTAGCACCCTAGCTCGCCTGCATGAAAGCCACTGTGGCGTGGGAGCAACAAAGCATCGTGCCCAGCAGTCTCTTGGCCAGACACTAATGCATACATTGTAAACACTGTTAGTGCCTGTGAGCCATGCCGGCGCCTACAGTCTAGTGCGCAACAGGAGCCACTGATGTTAGAAGACAAACCCACAAGACCATTTATGTCTGTGTCGGCTGACTTTTTCAATGTTGCTGGAAAACACTTCTTGGTGCATGCTGACCGACTCTCCGGATGGCCAGTTGTCATCCCATGTGGAACTAATGCAGCAAGTGCTTTGCCGATCAGATTCTTCCAGCATGTTTTCCATAATGTGGGTATGCCAGTTCACCTGCACACTGATGGCAGAGCTCAGTTCTCCAGCCGGGAATTTGCATGCTTTGTCAAGCCCCCATTACCCACAGTCCAACAGAAGCTGTTGTGAAGAGAGCAAGTATCTGATCATGAAGACAGCACCCAATAGAAATATTGACAGTGAGGAGTTTGACAGAGGCTTACTGTAGTTGCGTGACACCCCAAACTTCACTGGTCGATCTCCTGCTCAGATTCTGTTTGGCATACCCCTTTGCTCCTGTGTACCTGCTCACTCTAGTGCCTTAATGAAGGAGTAGCAGACCAAGGCTCAGGACTGCGACCATCGTGCCAAAGTATGGGCCTAGGAAGAACAGCTGTCGGACGACGCACCAGGATCTTCCACCCCATTTGTGCCTGTTGAACCTCGACGTTTGGAACGTTTCAAGTTGAAGTCCGTTCAAGTGAACGTAAAGGGGGAAGGGAGATGTGGGTTGTGATAATGAAGTGAGTTATGATAATGATGTGAATTGTGAGTGCCATGTGATGCCATTATGTACGGGTTGTGATGCCAGTATTATCGTATGTATATTGTGATAATTATGTGATTATATTATACATACTACCTTTTGTGTGATATGTTACACCCTGTGAAATATAGGTTATGTTTAGTTTATATTGCTGTGTAGCATATCACCTATGTGAAAGAGTGAGATTCTCTGTACGATTTATAGAGTTCAATATTTTATTTTGTCTCTGTAGTCACACATCTGGCAGTAACACTCATGCGGAGCCTGGCGTGTGTGGCAGAGGAACATGAAGAGTTGCGTTTTACTTTTGTCAGAGCTGATCTCCAACGAACCTACTTTAGTCTTCATCGTGTTTTCTGCACCCTCAAGCATCATAGCGAAACTCCAAGCAAACACAGAAGACGACCAAGGAGGACCTGTGCAAGACCTTCTAGGACGTGTGGACGTCGAGGACGGACGGATTTACCAAGGACCAGGGCGAAGTGGACGACAAGGACGAGCAGCCATGAAGATACAACCGAGACATCGTACGCGAGAACAAAATGACCAGCTAATCAGTTCTAGCCAAAGTTGGGTCACCCTTGAGGCAAATCTAAGCCGCCTCGAGGGGCAATATAACGAGCAATAAACCGTGTACATAAGAACGACTTGCGTAAGCCATTAAACATAGACCACGTGACCGTTTGCAACGTGGCTCGAAGTCCAGTAGAGAACCATCGACTCAGCGAGGACGCATTTATATGACCTTGTTTGACTTCTCAGACGTGCCTCAGCACCCGCCGGGCTCAGGTCATATCGCCAGCCTTTCTCCCCCCCAGAGGGCCAGACTGCGCCTGCGATCCCCGCACTCAGCGCTTACCTTATGAGATTCGTCTCATGTGTTACCATCACTGTGTTGTACTCTTCCGTTATATATAGTCAAGCCGTTATATAACTAATCCCGCCCTACTAGCCACTGTATTGAAGGGGCCTCGTCTTA